CTTTTGGGCAGCGGCCTTCATTGCCTCCTCTTTCTCCTTTGCTTCCTTCGCCTTCCTTTCATCTTCTTCCTTCTGCTTTCGAGCTTGAACTGCATGTGCAAAATGTATTGCATTGGCTTCCCTTTCCATCAAAACTTCGTTTGCCCTTTCCCCATACTTGTGTACTAACTCCTCCCAAGCTTCGTCGGTGTAGCCAGGAATGGTGGCTGGTGCCATTGCCTCCTCATTCTTTTCTTTTTCTTCCCTGGCTTTCCTTTCATCGTCTTCCTTCTGCTTTAGCTTTCTCACTGCAGCCTTGATTGCCTCCTGAGCCTTCTCCCTTTCCTTCTTCGTATTCTTTTCATCTTCTTCCTGCGCTGCAGCCTTCACGGCCTCCTCCTTATCCTTTTCTTTCTGGGCCTTCCTTTCAGCTTCTTCCTTCTGCTTTTGGTCTGCGGCCTTCATTGCTTTCTCCTTCTCCTTTGCTTCCTTTGCCTTCCTTTCATCTTCTTCCTTTTGCTTTTGGGCTGCAGCCTTCATTGCCTCCTCTTTCTCCTTTTCTTCCTTCGCCTTTTTGTTATCTTCTTCCTTCTGCCTTTGAGCTGCAGACATTGCTGCCTCCTCAGCCACTTCTTCTGTCTTCTTTCTGCTTTCCTCCCAACGCAGCCTCATGGCTTGCAAATCTGCTGCTTGTTTCTCTATGACTTTTTTCAAGTCTGTTGAGGCCGTGTTGCCTGGTTGATAGTCCATCTCTTCATCGTCCGTGAAGTCTTCCTCCTCCTCTTCCTCTTCTATGACAAGCACATCAGCCTCTTCCCTGCTGTCCTTGGCCAGGTTGGAAGCAGTGGCTGAATCTGTCTTGTTTTGGTCCTTTGCAGCTTCGCTGGAAGCAGTGGCTGAATCTGTCTTGTTTTGGTCCTTTGCGGCTTCACTGGTGCCATCTTTGCCCTGGCAGTGCCAAGAAATGGCATGAACGTACAGGCGTGCATGTGCATGTGTGTGTGTGCGCGCGCACCTTCTTGTCAAGTTCGGGCTTTCTGATGCTCTTTGTTCGCTTTTCTACTCCAGCGTCCTTTAAAGAAAGATCTTAAGACGACATATGGACACATTATGACACATGAAATACACACTGATGCAGTCCTTGAAGATAGCAGTGACCAGGTCTTTCAGTTTCGAGATGTTACCGTCCTTCCGCCTTGCGATCAAGTTTGGTTTAGGTTAATTAAGGCACACGCGCACAAAATACATATGACTCCATCTTTCAATTACATCGATCCATGTCTTAAACTCACCTTGCATTCTTGGTGCGTCCATGTCGGTGAACAATTTTGCTACCAAGAAGGCGATGTAGGTTGCCCTCTGTCTCAGCCCAATCCTCTAAGAGGCTGAATGCTGAATGAATGCATTGGTGGGGTGCCAAAAAGTGCACACAAAACAACATACTACCTGTGTGTACTATAGAGAAATATTGATGAGAGAGAGTCCTGGACGTCATCATCTCCGTCCACCAGCTTGTACTTCTCCGCAATGTATACCAGAGCCTCCTGGCAGCCCAGTCTATATTTTGTCCTAACTAGGTTTTGGAAACATATACAGGGCAAAGAGTGAAGCTCGCAGATAATCGATTGCTTCATCCCGCTCCCGGACTTCTTTCGTTGTAGGCGGTGAGATAGCGAACGAAGGAAGCCACGTCATAGCAAATGTTGTGTTGATGGTCTTCTCGATCTGGCATAAGTCACATACACTCAAACAACGAAGTGGGTAGAAAATCAGTCTGGGGGACATAATCTTCAGTCAATCCTCTTTTCGGATGAAGCTCCAGAAAGGAAAATGTCACAGGTGGCACCTGGCGTGTCCCAAACAGGGCTGAATCTCAAATGAAAGTTCTGCACAGTGAACTAGCTAGGATGCACAGTCTAACTTTGCTTTTGAACACACAAGACAAGTGTGCTGCACCTTTCCCTCTCGCAAAGTCTTTTCGACTTTGTACTCTGGTATGCCCTCCTTCCTGCCAATATCTATGAACCTCTCCTCCCGATAGGCACCATCCGAGAGGATCTCTGAATAAAAGTCCTGGAGGAACATAGTCTAGTGTTAAGCCATGCACAGTGTACAAATCCCAATCCCCCAAGAAGAGCAACAGTGGTGCGGACCTTCAACATGGCAACCCGCTTCGGATCAGGCTTGGACACCGGCATGGGCAAAGTGAGAGGTGCTGGTGGGTGCCTGCTTAAGCGACGATTGTAGTGGACACGTCCAAAAAGTTAACTTGTTCTTGCCTTTGGGCCCCTTGAACCACAGCAATCCAAATCATGGGTCAACTGATCGACCAGTGATCAAATGACCAAAAACTACATGTGCAGTGCAAATGTAATTCAATGTCACGCTGGGTGGGCGCCACCTTGGTAGCTAGGATCTTTTCGCCATGTTCCTCAGCGTTGAGGGGAGGGGAAGGAGAAGGTGAATACTAGATCGATGAACACCAATAATGAGTTTCGGGCTTTTTTTGATGGCCTTTTTCATCAAAGGGACATGCCATGGCTCCACAAAACGCTCACGATGTAGGGTTGTTGTTCATGTGTGTGTGCACTTCGGTATGAAGTCATCCGCTATTAGGTTGGAGGCCATGTCTATTGGGTTGGAGGCCATCGCTCTTAGGTTGGAGGCCATCGGCCATCGCCATTAGGTTGGAGGCCAAGAAGAAAAACAACTACTTGAAGTGACTCTCCCTTCAACCTGTGCCATTGTGCAGCAGACCAATCTGAGCCTGGATCACCAAAAGGCAATGGCCTGTGAGCTGGGATGGATGGGACCTGGAAGGGATCGGCAGGCAGTTGGCAAGTTTTGGAGAGTGTTCCTAGTGGATTTAGAGATGGCTTACATGAAGAGCAAGTAAAACATAGTCGTTGTCCAAGACTATGTTTAACCTAGTAAAACATAGTCGCTACAAAGACTAAGTTAAACTAAGTCGTTGAAGACTAGGGAATATATACTGCAAACCCTGAAAACACTTCCAGAGATCAGCAGTCTCAAAAGACTTACTGGTCCACGATGGTCCATGTCTTCTTGACAAACCGCCCCCCGAGAGGACCTCGGACACCGGTTCGCTTAAATAACACCCTTCCGACAGAGAAAGCCATACCTGAAAGGCCGCCTGTACCATACGTACCGTGGGGTGGAACGCCGCCCTCGACCCGCCAGGTCGATGGGCGTGGACTTTGGCCCGTCCTTTGTGGGCTTAGCACTCTCGCTAGGCGCAGGGGTTCACTCCATGCGCCATGAATCCATGCGCCACAGGATTTCTGGAGCAGATAACTCGGGGCAGGGCAGTTGAAGTTTTGGTTTGGAGCAACACTATAGTTAGAGGAGACGATGGAATCCGGAATCATTGTTGAGGACTGAGGACATGGAAGTTGGGGTACTGGGGTACTTTCTTACTCACTTGAGCTGGTGGTATTGGCTTTGTCAACATTGGTGGATGCAGTGGATGCTTGAAAGCCAAGACAGCTCAGCAGCCAAGTGGGAAGTTGGGCGTGCAAGTATTGCGTTTGATGTTCGGATCGCGGGCTGGATCGTCGCTTAATTGCCAGGTTTTTGCACCTCCCAGCCTGAATCCTTTGGTACGGCGATGTAAGGTGTACAGGATCCCACATTGGCCATGTGGGACGACAGGTTACACTCGAAGAATGGATGGCCCGTGGTGAAAAACCCCGTGCCGGAGCGATGTCGATGAAAATCCAAGACCAAACAAGTGATCAACTCCACAACCATGAGTATTTTGGGGAATGTACAGTATCCATCAAGACGTGTTTGTTTTTTTTGTTTTTTATGTTTGTTTGTCCAGACTTCACTAAAATGAATAGAAACTTCTGTTCAGCCACGTGCTGACAACTGGCTCCATAATCTCCAGTATACCCTCAGAGTTAGAACAGAGTATACCCTCAGAGTCGCCAAGATGGAAGAATCATTCTTTGGTGGGAAGACGGAGGGGCGACGATCCAGAGTATACCCTCAGAGTCCCAACATGAAGTGGAAGACGATGTTCTCGAGAGCCGTTGTTTCTTCACTCGGGTCGACCGACATCGGAACACCCACATGTGGGGCCGGCCCTGCTCCGTTTCAGAGTGCACCCGAATGTCTTTAAGGCCACCGCTTGATCCTCCCCCAGACACGACCTGTCTGGGACTGCCATCAGGGATACTGGTGGCCAGGAGGGTCGGGGCGACATGTCTTCCAGTCCCATGCAGTCCATGGAGTGAGACATCCACCTGTCAGCCGCGTCCTTCGACCCGCAGGCGGGGTGAACACCATGCCGATGGGCACGCTCCGCACCGGGGAGGCCGGCCGTGAAACCACCAACACCGGTGTTTCGGCTCGGCTGGACCAGGCTGGACCTCATGAAACACATGGAGTTGGTCATACAGCACAAAAAAGGAGGTAAGTTTGGACCAAACTGGAAGTAAGTTTGGTGGTTTGGAGGTAAGTTTGGTATGTGACTTACGGAGTTTGGTAAGTTTGACCAAGTTTTTACTGGGTCTTTGACTTTGGACTTGTAGGGATGGTGTTCGACTGTTTTCTCTTCGAACTATGGACGTCACGAAGAAAACATATCGCCCTAGGCCACAAAAAAAACGGGTGAATGGGCCTTGGGTAGTCGATGGGTTTTGTCATGTCAATTCCATTGAAGACGGTTTTTGGGTTAAAGATAGTTCAAGGATGTCTCAAGACCTTAATTCCAGGAGTCACGTTCGACGGGGTGCCGAACGAACGGAGGATGTCGGGGTGCCCAGAACATCCACTCACTGGATGGGACTAAAAACCACCCCGTCTTGTGACTCCTGGTTGTTATATATATATAAATTATATATTAATATCGCCATTGTGAAGATGCCTTGGGGCCCTCAAACCGCTTACCGCAGAATCATTTTGAGGGAGCGTTTGCTGATTTATGGCGTGTTTAGGCCACGGAAGCTGTTTTTGTATACTTGTGTGTGCTTTTTGGGGCATTGGCTGAGATCAGTGACACAAGCCCAACAGATGAGAATTGGCAGGACTGGAAGGAGCTGGCCATCAAGATTGCCAAGATCGCGAGTACCCAGCGTGTCAAGGACGTTCGCACCCTCAAACGCACGAAGAGCTTGACTCATTGTCATGTCCGTGCCTTGTCACCTGAGACCGGTGGCAAGTGTAGCCTGGGTCGAGTCTGAGAGTCAACATGAGGAACGGGTCGTCACGCAAGCGGAAAGACTTTGCATGGACTTGGCGGATTGCATGGACTTGGACAGGCGAACGTTCTCCGTTTTGTAGCCGGAGCTACCATGAGCTACCTGGACCCGACTGACCCAGTACCTCAGAACATGGGACATGACCCCATCAAAAACAGGTACGACTGTACCCAGGACTTCCGAGGTACGAATGGGTCGACTCCAGGTATATTTGAGACTCCAGGTACTTTGAGACCCAGGTACTGAGAAGATGGGACATGACCCCAGGTACTTTGAGACTCAAGGTATATACAATGCGTTTCAATTTCGATCTCTTTTTTATTTTCCCTTCATGCCCCGATGAGAACCTTTGCCCAAACCCGTCAGGGAAGCACCTCGTTGGGTTTCTCCCGAAAACGAGCAGCCGAGCAGCTCCTGCGACAAGAAGACTAGGGGCCGTTCAGGTGGTTTCAGGTGCGTTCCGGTGCTGCATGTGATAAACACAGTGACATAATCACTTGAATGAGTGTGTAACCTCATGTATCACATGTATCACACGGTGACATGTTATCATGGTCATGATAACACAGTGATAACACAGTGACGTGTGTTTATAACAAACAGCTTATGATCATGACCTATAATGAGCAATAGCAAAAAAGAGGTCACAAGTCACAAGCTATAATATATCATCTGGAGACCTCGGACAGTAAGTGGGTATATAATTACAGTAAGTTGTACCATGTTGTACCTGTTTTTTGATTCGGCTCATGCCATAAGACCCTAAACCATCCTAAACCCATTGTCTAAGGTACTTGAAGTCGGGTCGAGGAGCGTTAGAGCTGTTCCTTAGAGCATCGCGAGCGTCGCGAGGGTCGCCAGGACATCGTCGTGGGTCAGCCTTTAGAGCGCGACGGGTCCGAGGGAAAAATAGGCTGGGCCTGTTTTTTTGGGGGGATTTTTGTGTGATGGTAGGCGACATGCAGATGAATATTGGATAAAGATTGGTCCCTAGTGACTTTGTGGGAAACAAATACTGCAAACTACCTTGAATATCCTGAACAGGGTCAAATGCATGTAATTTGGATCAGTGTTTTTCATATATATATATGAAGTGATTGGGAATCACATGGTGGCAGGGATGGCCTTTGTTTTTGTGGTCAGGAAGATGAGAAGTTAACCACTCGAGCAATCTTTCAATGGGTTGATGATGTTTGAGGATCGATAATCCCGACAACGCTGGTGTGATCAGTGATCGCTATCCCTGTCATCACTATCATCACCTACTACGCAGTATACAATATATGGAATCACTTTGTTTTTGTTCATGTTACACTTACTCAAATAACCTTTACCCAAATGTAGTATATCAGTATAATATCATTATCACGTACTCAAACCTTTCTTTAAACTCAGTTGTACGGTATACCATATTTTACAGAAAAGGGCCTGAAGCGGCCATGACATGTCATGACATACAGATTTGCTCATGATGGTCTTGTCTTCTCTTCTAGAGTCAAAGGGTCACTGAAGAAGTGCTCTATGAACAACCTCGAAGTGGGATTCTAAGATAGAGCCTGGCGGACTTCTTTTCCAGGCAAGCTGGTGCGATACTTCGTTCAGGTCTTGGCGGACGCGTGCCTCGCTGGCCTGGACCGACCAAGTGGTCCACGTGGGCCCAGATTTGACCCAGCGGTTGTGGGGGGGGGAAGACTAGGTATCTGTTTTTGGTGCAGACATGGGAGAAGCAACATCTTCAATAATGATGAACATGTTGAAATCTGTGGACAGATGTTGAAAACACGCATTTTTAGATCATTGCAGCTATATATATTCTGTGCCTTTCTGAAACCGGCTGTGTCCGCGTGTGTCCGGATGTCTCCGGTCTTGGAGTCTGAACCCTGGCGTTTGCCGAGGTGTTTGCTGATGCTGGGGAACGAGGTCACCGTGTACATGTGGGTCACAGACTCAGCCCCCGGCCGCGGGACATCCCGCGCGCGCGCGCGCGGGAATCCGTCGGGTGAATGTGGGGTTCTGGGGTCGGGTGCGGCATTTGCCTCCAGAAATAATGGCCAAATGTGGCCCAGCATCTAGTGGTCTCCAAATAGATTGAAACGGTTTCCAAATGTTTCCAATACCTGACACATGTTGAAAGGGATTTGACTATTGGGGTGTCTATCGCCGCCCCCCGGACGGATCGAGCCGTTGTCTATCAACATCTGACGTCTTCACTGAGGATGAGCGTTTCTCCACCACCTACGCCGCCATGCGCCTGGGGAACCGCCCCCGCTTCGATGGCGAGGTGGGTTTTCGACGGACCGGGCCAGGTCGGGCGGCCTCGCGTTTGGGCCAAATGGGTGTGGATAGCTTTAACCTTAGCATGTGATTTCAGGTAGTACATCGGTACATAAGGATGTCTAAGGTAGGCTGTATGGGTTTGGTCCTGATTTTTGCCAGCCTCCTTTTTCGCTTCTGCCCAATTCGACCGACCTGGTCCTTTCCTGCACCGTTTGTCTGCGATCTTCGCCCCTTGGTCGAAAGACTCGCGGCTCGCCTTCATGGACGACATCCAGCCAGGTGACCCCGAACGGAAGCACATGTTTAAAGCAAAGGGAGCTCAAGTTGACAAAATGATGTGATACATGCAAGGTGTTATAATTGATTGAACACAATTGAACAGAGCTCCACGGCCTAACGGATGTTCATCAATGTTGCTTTCCCAACCACTCAGGAAGCTTCCAACACTTTACCGGCCATCAAAATGGGTGTGGTCAAGCAGGCTTTTGTCATATATGAACTTCAGTATAAATTGAGTGTTGAAGGCAAACACGTTGCACAATAAATCTATATTTGTTGTTGTTCTTACATGTTTGTGCTATACTTTGGAGAGTTCAACCCATCGTATATAAGTTTTAGGACCCAATTAAGATGATGGCTAAATAGAAAACACATAAACACAGCAAAAACAACCATTGATTATAGATATTAATTATGTAATTTAGTGACTTGAAATACCTCTGACCTATTACTGCAGTATAACCCCTTTTGCATTGACCATGTTGGCATAAAATACTTAAAGATGAGTGTGCTTAACCTCTATACTCGGTGGCAACGGGGATCAAGAACGCCCACCTTGTACATCCCTTGTGCACTCTCAAATGACCAGACGAGGCTCTTTGCACATGTTCACATCTGTTTACATCTGTTTACCACGAACATCCATACATTCCTGTTTCTTCAAGTCTAGATCCATAGAATCTTCAAGTCACCCACCCCCGTTGTATGATCTCACCCGTCAGTCACCCCCCCCTTCACCGTGGCCACATCGGTGAACACTTCAACCCGCTGTTAGAGTCTCCGACCCCCCGTGTGACCCGCCGGTGACACACGCGGTTTTTCGAAGGCCTTCAAGCGGTGGATCACCGTGCGGCAGGGCCTCAACTGGGGCGCCAAGGCCTTGTTGGACTCCGAGGCCATGGCGTGGGATGGAGTTGGGCCAGGGGTGGTGAATGTTTTTCATTCATCCTATCTTCGACCATTCGAACATCTATAATAGATCTATTTTTCACCAGACTGCAGATCAATTGTTCAACCTGGTCATGTTGATTCACATGTCATCACCAACCTTTACCCTTCACATAGATCTGTTCATTCGGTTCATCAAGGTCTGCGGATGTGCTGCCAGATCTGCTCCATCCGCTCGATTTGAGACCCCCACCCGCGCTGTTCGCCGTTGTGACGACCCTCGAAGATGGCCCGTCTTCGGTGCCGAGTCCCTTCTCTCCCATCCGGGTAGAGTGGGCCACCTGCCAAACATTTTTTTTTTGGGGGGGATCAGATTCACACACTGAAAACTATGTCACTTTTCGCATGCACAGGTTTTTTTGAATCTTCAGATCGCATGGATCGTGGAACATGGTGGTGAATACACTTTCCAGAAAAAAAGAGCGACCGACTTGTTTCGTGTCAATGGAGATATGCGACTGACCGCTGGCCCGTTCGACGCGCCAAAAAGGCCGCTCGAGCGATCTTGGAGCACTGGCTGTCAAAGGATGAGCGAAGTGAGATCATCAACAAGGAGAGGGAACTAGGAAGGCAGAGATCTCAAGAAGTGGCAGTGGGCCACGCTTTATGGCCGTTCACATCCGATAAAGGACTGGACCGTGAGGGTTTCCAAGTTTCCTGCCTCGAAGCTTCATTGGCATAGACCCTGAAAACCTGGTTTGTGAGGAACGCAGTCTGTCAGGGTGTTCATTCGACCCGGGTCCATGTTGGTTTTCGGGAGTGATATGGCCATGGGCTCACAAACCCTCTCTGCCTCAGGAGCTCTCCGAACGTGTCGCTCCGTCCCGAGAGGCTTGCATGAGGTGCGGCGAGGGGTGGAAGGGGGTGGCCTCGCAAGGGAGGTGAACACTCCCTGGAATCATGCATGGTGATGTGGATGGCATGGCCAACATTGAAAGGCCATGATTATCCGAATATACCTGGAGTCTCAAAGTACCTCGGAAAATGGGTACAAGATGGTACAAGTACCTTTTTTTCATGGGGTCATGTCCCATTTTCTAAGGTACTGTACTGGGTAAGTCGGGTCCAGGTACCAAACAGATGGTGAAACTCCACGGAACCAGCCCTGCGAATTCCGGGAGTCATGCGTTGTAAACCAATCTCTCGAAGCTTCGCTCGGCGATCGGTTTCTTCTTCAGCCGAGATCGCTAGCTGGATCGGTTTCTCCCAGACGTTTGATGGGCGTTCGCGATCCGGATCGGTTTGAAGATGGAGATCTATAGAGTCTATAGTGGTGAACCTCCGCATTGGGATCGGTTCTCAAGAGATCGCTTTAGATCGGGGTCTTGGTGAACATCGAGAAGATCTAGGAAAAGATGCCCTGCATTGGCCCTGATAGTTGTTTGTGCCTATCGGTCTCCATCGGTCTTGCCGTGCCATGCCATCGGTTCGGTGCCAGATCCGGGTGATTTCCAGGTATTTGCTGCATGAACCGCCCGGGTCAAGCCGACCCAGACGCTCCATGAAACCCGACCTGACCGGTCCCTCGAAAACCGGGATTTGCTTCGACCGCAGACCCCTTGAAACGAGGTCCGACCGGTCCATGAGAGTTTGGGAAGGTCTTTTTTTTGGAGTCCAGATGAACCAGGGACTGTGACCGGTATTGATCAGCGGTTGAGGTCGGTTGTGGGGACCTCATTTGGGCTAGCTTTCGAAAAACCCAGCAACTCAGAAGACAGCTGAACCCACCAGGAGTTCCATTTCGGCTTTGGATGTTAGGATATTTTAGATTCTGAGTCATTGGGTGGGACGAACCAAAACCACCTAAACACATGTGACTCCTGGATTACACCAATATGTTAAGCACATGACGCCACAAGACATCCGGTTTTCTGACCCAGTTGTTTTCTCTTTCGCCAAAACACAGGTGTTGTTCCTCACCCCAGCCGGCTCCACTTCGGGTGACTTGCGGACCGGCTGTGGGGCGCTAGGTATTTGAAGTATCGCAAGGTGAGGGCGGCCTTGCCGCCTGCGAAGGATCTTCAGCCTGAGGAGCCCAGTTCGTTGGACAGAGGGCGAGCTGCGAGCGTCCTTGAGGGGTTTGGAGGGAGCGGTTTCTTGTCATGTGTTTGCAATGAGGTAGATTGGCGACATGTACGCGAAAACATGGGTTTGTTCGTTGGTAGTACAAGCGAACAGAAAACATTGAAAGACCAGGCCTCAATTGATGTTACTTTTTAAACATAGTACGGTATAAAGTCTATATAGATAATCTGTATATAGTTGTGGTAGTTGTATGCGTTAGCGTTGGTGGACTGACAGGTCGGGAGATGACCAACTTTCGAAAGGCACCAGCCGCCTATGGGCGCTTCATTGGCCAAAATTCAGTGTAAGAACCTCCGGAGACCCAAGGTCAGACCCCCAGATGAAGCTATTCGGTCAAAACCAACTCGAAACGCATCGATCGGACCAGTCAAACCCCGCCGGGGCGATCCGGGCGGGACGGCCACTCCGGGCGTCGTGAAACGGTGACGGCAAGGAGCCTGCTGGCCCAGGGAAAGAAGCCTGGGAGTGGTACGATCGTCATCCCGAGAGTGGCCTGTTTTGGTGCTGGAGTTGTTGGCCTGGGCTGTGTTGGAGCGGAGCGAGATTATGCTAAGAGCCGTGTTGGAAAGCATAGTTGATGTTGAAATTCATACCGAAAGAAGAGATACCGGGAGTCAGACGGGGTGGTGTGGCTCGTCTCCAGTGAGTGGATGATCTGGGCACCCCTTTGGAACTGCTGGCACCGTACTGTTTGATAGTCTTTGGTGGTTCCTGAGCCCCAGAAGACCCCGGAAGATTCATCCGAGCTTCATTCTGATGGGACTGTTTGCTGTTCGCACATGCGAAAGCAAATGAACCGACGCTGCCACTTAGAGGACACAAGATGTTGGCAACTCATCCAAAGGTGTTTGTGGGCACAGCTCAGGTCCGTAAGATCTGGGTAAGGCACTTGGTTTTGCAGGGGGCGCGCGTTGTGACATTTCGTTGCGGCAAGTCATTTGGACATTGGATGACGTCCCAGGCTATGAAGTGGATGAGGAAGAGCACCAGTGGCTTGGAACATCTTGGAAAGCAGACCTCGAACATTCTGAACGCCTGGGGACGTGAAAGAAGCGAATTCCACGTACGTTCAGCACAAACATCTTTGTTTGAGAGGCTCTCGACACACCATCCATGGACTGGACATATGGCCTTGAGGTTTTTTTCTTTGAGGGGTCAATTGTTGGATACAACCCTCGGGCTCACCCCAAACTCCCAGCTTGCTGATGACGAAAGAAAGGAGCGCCACAAGCGCCTTCAACGACTACATGGCAGGCTTAGACGGCTTCGGGGACAAGGAGTGCAGGGGTTGAGTCGGTTTGAATGCTAAGCAATTGTGAAAAGATGTGGATTTTGTCTTGACATGTCTACTCGCATGTTGGATTGGTCCGGAGTCCATGAGTCTATCTATTCCACAACTGCACAGAAGCAAAGCCTCCATCAGCGCTATCAATCCTGAGGCTCTATATAATAATAGTCGAGAAACAGCTCATTGTGATTCGAGTTGCCCCCGAGTATCCACTAAGAAAGCTCTCAAATCACGCCTTCCCCCCACAAGGCCCCTAGTTATAAGATATCCAGCTATAGACTAAGATATCAAGTATTTAAGATCACTAAGATGTTGTTCATTTGTTTCACCGATTGCACTCGGTTCTTTCGTCAAATCCTTGCAACCTCCAGGAGCGCGACGCTGAGAAGCGGCGCGGCGAGCGCCGCACTGCGCGGCGCGAGGAGCGCCGCGTGCGGCGGGCGCGGCGGGCGAGCGACCGCGAAGCAGAGGAGGCCACGGACGCCGTGGGCGAGGGCGAGGGCGATGGCGTTCGATGGTTTTCGGAGAATGAGCAGACACGAGCGACATACGTGGGAATGAGTTCGAGTTGTGGGATGCCGGTAGAGATGTTCCCTACGTACCCAGGTCTGACTATTGAGGTAGAAAGGAGTCCTGCTGGTAGGAGTCCAAGACTACTTAGATCAGGTCGAAGTGGGAGGTTTCCTAAACGGTGTTCCCGACTACAGGGCCCCAACTCTACAGGTCTCGGAAATGAAATGGAGGCTTTTGCAGACATAAACGTCGCAGACCTGTTGGAGAGTCCTGGTTGGAGTCCAAGACGATTTTGCTTCAATCTATTTCGACCCCCAAATACATAGAAAAGTAATGAACAGTATATCCCCACTGAACATGTATTGGAAACTGTGCCACTATCTATTGGGGACCACTATAGTGGGACCACTATATAGGGTACCGGTGGAGGGATCTTGAGAACAACTCCACAGGTGCGGTTCGCGCAAGCATTCGAGCATTGCAGGTGCTGCAAGAGAGGGTGGATCAATCCCAGAAGGATTACCAGGGCATGAAACTGCCCAAGGACAGGGAGGACTCGTCGTTCTTCTGCCTTCGCACCAAACCTCTGTGGTTCAGAGCCGAACAGGGGATGGCCTTGGTCTGGTCATCGGAACGAGGGAGTCAAGGCTGTATCCAGGGGTGTATCCCATGATCAGTAACAGGAGAAAATGTAAAGCATTTATGTACTGTTATTGTATACTAGCTCATCATTGTCATCATCATCATCATCATCGTCGTCGTCGTCGTCATCATCGTCATCATCATCCACTGTCACTGGTTATAGGATCTACTATGATCTACCCAAAGTTTTATCAATTGTCCACGAGAGATGAGCCCATTGGGCCAGAGCCAGCTGACATTATAAAGACAGTGAGTCATGGGCTTACAGGTTCTGAATCCCGTATGAATCCAGGAAAACAACTCTGAGAGGGTGCTGTGTTCGACACATTGATGTTTCCAGGAGGGTGTATTCTGCTGTACCTTCTGAGAAGGTGGTGAATGACCTCTTATGAATTCTTTGCTCCACGAAGAAGTCTATTTCTCTCCCAGGTGGTGAATACCATCGCACATCGCAGCTCGCGAAGCTCGCGAAGCTCGATGTGTGTGAGTTTGGTAATGGACCAAAGGTTCTGTGAAGGACACCCAGTGGAAACGGATTGATTTTGGGTCATGCTGATGTCATACTAATGTAATGCAGGTGCTTTGTAGTCTAAGTAGAACGGTTTCAGAGTAGTGGGCACAATCCCCAAAAGTTTTTACGAACCCGCGTGCGTATAAAAGACATGCATGTGTATACCAATATACTTTGAAGAGATAATTAAACTCATCTTCAGCGCTTTCTTCGGAGTCTCTTTTCCAGAACCCGCCAGGAGAAGTGGAACAAGTACCGGTGAATCGCGACGTTTTCCCCAGCACCCTGCAGCAGCCTGCGCAGAAAAAGATTGATCATGAATCATGGATCGCTTGAAGTGGGCTTTGATTGCTTTGGAAGCACCCAGACGCTCCCCGTTCACAGCCCGACCGGTCCCTCAAAACCTAGGGATTGGTTCGACCCCAGCCAGACCCCTCCATATGGGGGTCCATGAGCATTTGGGCAAGAACTAAAGGAATATGGAGAAGGCACCGTCGCGGCCAGGGCAACCAAATGGATAGGGATAGGAATTGTGTGCAGTGGAACAAATACTGGAAGTAGGATGATAGGGTTCGGATCGAAGATGATCATTTGTTGCCCCGTTAGACTCCGTTGTCTAGTTCGTCTAGTTCCTGCCAACGTCTTGTGCGTTGTCATAGCAGGCTCCGTCGCCTCCATGCTGAAGCAAAAGAAAAAAACACCTCATACACCCATGAACGTCCGTGTCCAACAGTAAAGGAGTGAAGAACATGTTGAAGGATGGTGTTCACATTGAATTGGGTGAGTGAGTACTGGGTGGGTGCAGCTAGTGGAGTGACGCAGCGAGATATTTACTGACAAAGCAGGCAGGCGGAACATGTTAACTATGGCCACTCAGCAACATGCTTTTCCGCAAACACATCAGTCTTCCAAGGCTAAAAGAATCAATTCTCATACATCACAGGGGCCGAAAAGGGCCCAGACACGCCGGCACACCTGCCAAACACGGTCAGCCAGAGACTGTGACCATTGGTTATATAAGCCGGCACACCGGCGCTAATCTCTCCACGGCGGACACAGGAGACTTATATCCTTTGGGATGGGCTCTTCGCCAGCGTGGGGCAACACCTGGCGACGTCTTTGCAGTGCGCTCCACCTTGGGACTTTACATCACACAAGCTGGATGGAAAGAAGTCTGCGTGTGTGAGAGTGTGTGTGACTGTCTCATTTCACTGGTGCAGGATCTACCTGCCAGCCATGCTCAACCGGCCAACCTGCCTCAACGAAACCTGTAGAATCTAGTGGATGCCCTGCTCGATCTGGGCTGAACCAACCGCCGACCTGTTGAGCGCATTGAGCGGCACAGGTACGAGGGCTCCAGCGCCGCCATGTTGAACGCTGCTGAGGCCGGACGAACGCTGCGGAGGTTTTGAGACACTCAGACATGCTCAGACGCCACACCAGCAAAACAGTCCAAATAGTCCAGCAAAACTGTTTTGGGTGGTTTTGGAGGTCAGTGGTTTTTGGATGTTTTTGGGTGGTTTTGAGACATTCACCCAAAACTGCCGCCCTAATGTTTGCCGTCCCATGAATCGTTTGGGTCAGGTTGTGAGGGGCCCGGACGAGGGAAACTGACAGGGACCCCCAGGAATCGGGAGAAGAGTTGGGGATGAGATCGGTTGAGTATTGTTCTGCTGGATGTTTTGGTAGAATTTCCTGGTGACCTGGAATTGGGGTGAGACTATCTCCAGAAAGATCATGAAACAGCATGAAACAATCTGAGCTCAAAAATGTGGCATGCAGGGAGTCCCGCTTCGAGTTCCCCGGTGAAGAAGAGACGTCTTATGGGTTGGAGACCCCGCACCTGTGACTTTGCAAGGGGTCTCAGGGGAGCTCTCCCCCCTAGTCACTAGTCGGTCAACGCAGGTAGGCTGACTATGTCCTCACAGGCTGGGTGAACCAGCGAAGACATCTCGATCGCTTTTGGTGAACGATAACAGCCTTGGCCATGGACCACGTGACATCCCATGAAGGCCTTCCAAGAGAGGTTGAAGAGCCCATCCTAGCCCATCCCATATGTACCACTACAGGGTCCTCTATGGTCTCTCAACCTCTCTTGGGCTGGCGTTCATCATAACATGTAGAACCATCCAGTCGAACAGCCGTCAAGTCCAAAAAAAAGCACACTCTCAGACCATCATAGACCATCCCATGAAACTAGGGGAAGAGTTGTACCTGGACTCCACTTCAAGTACCTCATGTCCAATTCTCCGGGGGACCTTTGAGACTCCATGTACACATGTCCTTGAAAAAAAGCAAAAATTGCCGATGAGGCATCCATGAAGGACATGGATTCCGAAGGGCCCATATCCTCAGGCGACCGGTGGTATTCGACCCCCCAAACACACCCACCCCAACCACCGAACCGAAACGGAGGGGGCGGCCAGGAGCCCTAGGGGGATATCTCTGCCCTGAAGCCAGAAACACAGCTGGAACCAGCTCGCTGGCCTCGTCTCCGCGTCGTCGGAGAGGCTGCGAAGGAGCTTCCGGCCTTGGACTTCGTGGCCGCAGCGCTGCTGCTCCGCATGCGTCGCAGCGCGGCAGCAGCAGCTGAGATCGGGGGGGCTGAGATGGGGGGACCCAAGGAAGACTCCATCGTCCTGCAGCGTGGGTAGCACACCAACTTCATATGTAAGGGAAGTATACATGGCTCATGAACGGGTGATGCCGCCGCCGACTCCATCCAGGTGGTTCTGGAGAGATTCGGAGACTATAGATGTTTGTTTGTGTCTTTGTTTGTTTGTCTTTTTCTCGGCGCTTTCTAGAAGACGTGTTTCTATTGATTGGGATGTACAGGTGAAGATGAGGAACAATGGCGACACTGAAGCAGATGACGAGTTCAGAATATGTTGCTGGAACATGAACTAAATGAGATGTCAAGCCCAAACCCGAACAAGAAAACACAACAACATCAACAGCAACAACCTCGACGAAACCTAATCCAAAATACCTCACTGAGCAGGAGAGAGAACTGTATATAAATTACAAAAGACAACTCTAACTTTGTACCTAAGTACCCACATACACCCAAAATTACAAAAAATGCATGCTCCGAGTCTCACCAGAACGTGCGCCTTTGGGATGTTTGTGGCGTTAGCCGATTTTGTATTAAAAACAAAAAAACACCAGTGCAAAGGTGTGAGGTGGTTTGATGGCAGTTCCGCGCCGGGCAAGCTGGGGAAGCTTCCCACGTGGCACCCACCATTCGGGGCTACCAGGAGTCTCAGGTGTCCTTTTTTGCCAGCAACCCAGACGCTCCATGTATACCATATATGCCGCCCCATTGGGGTGGTTTGAGGGCGCAATGTAGGCATATATGGCATACAGCATACATACATGGAGTGTTTGGGTAATGGATGTCTCCGAGGGTGTAGAAAGCATTGGTTCGGTCGGCAGCCGTCGTCTAGGTTACAAGAGCAGCATGGACCTAGACGCCTAGACACGGAGATTGGGCTTGTTCCATTACTGTACCAATCGTCGGTAAACAATTATCGCTGATCACTAGAGAAAGGCCTGCAATCAGGCCCGATCGTCATCAACTGTTACTGGTAATGGGATAGAGACCCAACATCATGTTTCGTGTCATAGTCACCAGCATCATCCACTGTTGCTGGGAATGGGGGGAGAGACCCAATGTAGCGATGTAGTACCCATATTATACACTCCCTGAAAAAATAGAAACCACATTGTGGTTACGTGGAAGGCAAGAAACCTCTGCGATTTCGGATGACCGCCATGAAATCCGAAGACCTACCTCAGCTGGTGAACTCGACGTCCGGTAGGGTGTACATGGGTGTATCGTGTACGTTACATTGGGGTGGTTTCAGGAGTCAATGCAGTCGTCGGGATGTCTTTCATGCATGAAGGATATTTCAATGAAGGATATGGATTCGGATCGTGACAGCGCCCGATTCGAGGAGATTTGCTGAGACTCGATCAGACGGAGTGCCTCCGACGCCCGACACCCAGAGCGAGCTGTGACGGGGGTGATGGGGCTGGTTGGAGTTGAGGTTGGTGTGGTTATGGCATTGCCCAAAATCCCTACAGGGTGACAATCCGTAGCTTTGTGACTAGAACTGGTAGGTTCCTGTAGAACCCTGTGGGTGAGGTGAATGACTGAATTAATGACCTGTTGAACCAAGAGACTTGCAGGGGGCATGAGGGGATTGTATGGGCAACTCCTCCCACAAAAAGACATCACTTGGATCCGGATGATCCTAATATTCTACCCATTCGGAATGCTGATTGTGCAGAATCCCCCCAAAGCAATCCTCAGAATTTGCTCATCAAGCCGGAAGATTCATGAAGATTCATGCTGCCTCCACAAAAAAAGGGGTAGAAACCTGCACATCTCTCAGATCATCAATTGATCAAGGGCGGCCATGTTCCCCATGTTCCACTCCCATCTTTCCATGTAGAAATTCTGCACATCGCCACCTCCCACACCGCTCTCCGAGCTGCTGCAGGGCTGCTTCAGAGCTGCTCGCAAGAGCGCAGCGGCGAGTTGTTGCTGGAGGCCAAACGGATCTACACAGGCGAGGACGGGATTTCGGTCACAGAATGGTCCGGGTGGACCAGGCGCCTGGTAGAGCACAAAAGCTTTGACACTTAGAGGTGGATGGTCACTATTTGTGGCGGTTTTGCAGGGGTTCTGGGTGTTGGCTGGGTTGGGAGACGATGAAAACGGTCTCAGTGGAGTGACCCTCCCAACCCAAACGGACCGAACAACATCATGCCGCTTTGGAAGTGCTTCTGGCACCACGGATCGAGGTGCACCTGGATGGCGAAAGAGATCCCACTGGGAACTGGGTCTTCCTGGACCATCCTGGACCCGATCTGACCTACCGCACCGCCCCCGCTCCTCGACACCGGTTTTCCTCAGGGCTCGGACGGTCGATGGGGTCGAAGCAATCTCGATCGGCGAGGGACTGGTCGAGTCGGGTTGGAACGTTTGGGGAGCGACGAAGACCCAAAGCAGCTGATCGTACGGCAGGTTGTGAGGTACGTCGAACGACTCCAGGTGCAGCCGCACCATTGGCCCCTCTTCAGAAACCAACCACGCCAATGTGACTGCACATGGCAGTCCCATTAGCCGTGAGTGACCGGGTATGTGACTGGGATGTGTCGAAAAGACTGTTGAAAGAAGTGGGGGATCATTATCCTTTTCACGTTCAATCCACTTGCTGTAAATAATGGTAAATATCTTAAATTAAATCCCGTGTCTTGAATGCAAAGGAACGTGCCTCAAGAGATATTCGGCTCAAAG